TTTTCACAAGCTGCCTCAGCACATTCTCCCCACGCCTACTCTGAGCCAGGGCTGCAGGCCTGTTGTTTTCTCCATGTTCCCACGGTAGTGAGAGGCCTTTTTGGCCTTTTAAAAAAGCAAAACACAACAAAACAAAACCAACATTAAAAAAGACAGAGAAAGGAAGTCTCCCAAATGTGCACAGGTTTCTGGGAACCACGGCAGTACCGATGTCCAGTGGAGAGTTGAGAGCCAGTCCCACGCCTGTCCCTGTATGCACCAGGGCAGGACAACACTGCAGGGTCAGAGCAGCAGAGTGTGCCTTAGAAGCAGCACTAGGCAGCCTCTGAGGACAGAGTAACTCGGGGAGCTCTGGCTACCAAGAGCCAACACTAAGAATCCAGGAGAAACACTGTCAGTAGTGTTCTTATGCTTTATACTTAAAAATGAAATACAACTCAGTTAAACGAAAGACAAATGCAACCTCACACATTTCTGATACATCTAAGTATTTGCAATTAATTGTGCTTTGTTCATTCTAAGAACCCAAAATGCCCAGAACAGCTTAGAACCACAGGCTTAGGTGCAACGTACATGTTTATGTTAGGAATCCCGCAGCAGCCCACCTTGCCCAGGGCAGGGCCTGGAGTAGACAAGACCATGGGCGTCACTGGTGCTTGAAGGACTTACTTGATGAATGAGTGGTAACAATGTTAGTGTTTGGACTTCCTGTTTATTCTGCTAAAAATATGAGACACAGTGAGTATCCCTCCTGGCCTCAGCTCTCTGTTCTCTCCCTAGAAGCCGCTCCCAAGTGTTCCTGTACCCCCTAGAGAGGGTAGGAGGGAAAGGCAGGCAAAAAGAAATGAGCCACTGAGACTCACCCCAGCTGCAACCTAGGCACGCAAGCCATGCATTCTGACCACTCTGCTCTGGGCCTGCTGCGGACAGAATATCAATGTGAAGAACAGGATGAAAGCTGTTAGTTACCAAAAGGAAAGCGCCAGGGTTTCTAAGAGGTGCCCTAGGAAGATGGTGGCCCAAGTCAACAAGCTTCAAAGAAAGAAGTCTGAAAGAAGACTTTAGCCAAAGGCCTGCCGTACACTCTTCCTAAGCCTCCATGAACAGAAAGTCTTCAAGAAAACATCCCTGACCAGGACCCAGTCAGACAAAAGGCAGGTGGCTCCTGGCTGATTGTCTGAGGTCCAGGTGCAGCCTTCTCTCTAAGTGGGGACCCTGGAGCTGTATGAACCAGAAGCTCTGCCACAGGAATGCTTGTGAACACTTTCTCCGAAGAATGTCAAATATTTTTCCTGGACAGGCTCACACTTGGGACCCACTCCTACCTGGGTCTAGATCACACCAGGTCATAGCTGACAGTGGACACAGCTTGCACCTGAAGCACGGCTCACACCCAGGCACAGCTCATATCTGAGGCATGGGTCACAGCTGGGCTCAGCACACACCCGAAGAAACACCCAGGAGGTTTCTGACTATCAGGGAAAACTTTCAAACAAATATGTTAATTATTAAGTCATATTCCAGGCAGGATGACCCACGTTTAAAGATGAGAGTTTCTGGTATCTCCATGATGCCACCCCTTGGGGAAAAAGAAGGCAAAGTGTTCACACACAGTAAGGACGGTGAATTCTGGAAATAAAGGCTGGGAAAAATCCTGGGACCCTTGTTAAAGGCTGTATCTTAGACCAGAAGAACACTTTGTGATTATTTGTGACTACTGTCGGCAGGTAACTCTGGTACCCGGCCTGTGCTGCACTCATGTGCTGTGCATGAGACTATGAAAGTGTACACTTTCGTATTCACAGAGATCTCAAATTCTGTGATGTGCATGCGTGGCTTATGAACTTGCTAGTGTGGGTGTGTGCAGGTGCACACTCACATTTATTACGCTCAGGCCAGAGGCTGACACTGTGTGTCTGTCCTTGATTACTCTCTACCTTTATGTTTCCGAACCAGGTCTCTCACGGAACCCAAAGCGCATCGACTGAGCTAGGCTGGCTGCCCTGGCTGCCCTTCAGGGATCCGCCTTGGGTCGGCTGGATGTTTGGTTTGATTGTTTGGTTCAATTGATAAACTGAAGTGATCTGAGATGAGGAAACCTCAGGGAGAAAATGTCCACACCTGACAGGCCTGGAGGCAAGCCTGTGGTACATTTTCTTAATTAGTGATTGGTGTGGAGAAGCCAGCCCATGGTGAAACGTGTCATCACTGGGCAGGTGGTCCTGGGGTATATAATAAAGCAAACTGAGAAAGTCATGAGGAACAAGCCAGGAAGTAGCACGCTCCCCTAGTCCTAGTCTCTGCGTCAGCTCCTTCCAGTCCCTGCCTTTGCTTCGGCTCCTGTCCTGAATTCCCTCAGTGATGGACTGGGCTGTGGAACCCTGAGCTGAAAGCCCCCACATTGCTCTTGGTCATAATGTTTTATCTCAGCAACAGAAACCTAAGGCACGCCTGTCTCTGCCCAACCCCAGCAGTGGGATGTCACAGGCACATTGCCAGACCTGATCTTTTTCACAGGTGCCAGAAGTCCGAACTCAAGACCTAACACTTGTGTGGCCTGCAGGCACTTCACTGCCTGACGTGCCTTTCTAGCCTGAATGAACTTACTGGCTCTATGGAGTTCCTCATCCTGGACTTTTCACATAGACCAAACTCTCATTGCTCAGGGTCCTTTCTTTCTGGAAAGTCACTACGAACAATATGAGTTAGTAAAGCCAGAGTCATGATCCCTGGAGAAGGAAATGCCCGTCTATCACGAGACTCCAGTCATGATGCTTTCAACAACCAGCTAGCAAATCACCTTAATTCTGTGACTGACCTCGCGGTCAGTGGGGCTGAATGACACTTCTGTAACACGACATCTCCACGAGGCAGGCCACCACACCCTGAGCTGAGAACATTAGATGGCACTCAGGCCTTAGCTCCAGACCACTGTACAGAGTGAAATCACCAACAGAAAGAAATCAAAACAAAAATGACAACGGTGTCAGTGGACAGAGTGTGTGAGAGACGGAGGCTGGCAAGAACTAAGATGGCACAAGGCGCTTCACTCTAAGTCCTCAGCCAGGAACGGATGTATTAAGTGCGTATTCTCCAGGGACCAGAAAACCACTGTAAGCATTGACTTAGGGCCACAAGTAAATATTAGCAAACAATGTTCTCAACGACAGATCCCTTCCGTATCAAGAGCATGACATCTGGCCCTGGGTCCCAGCTTAGTTCCCTCAGCATACCTTTTGTGATATCCACAGCCACGAGGTGGTGCTTAGCAGGCCATGCATACTTGGCCTTCTGCTCACTGGGAGGTGGATTCTTGGGTTTTGTTCATTCTTGGGCTGTTGTGAATGGTCCCGTGTGCAAGTCTTTATGTGGATGTTTACCCCCACACAGGCTCTGCTGGTGGTTTTAGTTGAAAGGGACACTCATTTTTCATTTTATTGTTATAACCTTGTGTGTCTTGAGGGAAGCAACTATTGTAAGAGGCAGACTGAATGTTTTGGGCACAGTTGGGGGCTACGTACATTTATGAAGATGGTAATATAGTTTCTTCCTAAAAGCCAGTGTCAGTCAGGGCTGGAAAGACGGTTCCCATTTTAGAGCATCTACTGATCTACTGCCCTTGGAGAGGATTTGAGTTTGGCTCCCAGCACCCACACTGGGCTGCTCACAACCACTGTAAGTCCAGCTGCAGGGGGTGTGACACCCTCTTCTGGCCTCCATGGGCACTCCCATGTGTCAAATAGAAGTGCACAGGAGTGAGCGTGTGTGTGTCACACACACACACACACACACACACTACAGGAAGTGACATGGGCATCACTGGATGGGGCTGTGGTGGCACCATAGGGAGGACACAATAATAACTGGCCTCTCTAGACCAATGGACACTTGATCTTCATGGTTATGGGCCAGCAAGTCTGTCCTGAAGATAAAGGTGTCTAGCTGTCCACAGATGTACAGATACCTAGAGCCTTCCCCCACACACAGTTACCCCAGTAGGAACCCCGTAAGGAGGGTGAAAGGAAGGCAGGCCCTAAGCAATCCAGAGGTGTGATGAGGGGCCAGGATGGTGCATGGGCCCAGCCAAGAGTTCGCAGATATGGGAATCTGACAGCAATCCAGGAAGCAGATGTTACTTTCCCACCTCAGGAAGGATGGTGGAGCCCATGAGAAGGACCTGAGGTCATCTGACAGATGGGTGCCATGCTTGGGAGTGTCATGCTGATCCTCAGAGCAGAGGAAGAATAATGAGGAGGAAAAGGAAATAATACTGACAGGGTGCTGGGCCTCCACACGCCTCAACTGTGGGCGAGGCTGATGCAGCATCACCTGGAATACGTAGACCTGAGCTCGCACCCACTCCAGGTTCAGCAGCTCCATGCTGAGGGGCATGCCTTACTCAAGATAGCCTCTGCTGGTACCTCAGAGTCCCCACTCCACAGGCAGGGTGAGTTCATAGGAGGCCAGGCTGCCCCACCCCACCCACCTTCAATCACCAACCTACCTAGGTTGTCAGTCATTTGTTTCAATACAAAACAGCATTTGCTTACAATGCTAGGATTTTAGAGGTTAAAGTTAACCAAAGGTATAATTTAAAGTTACTATTTTCCCTAGTCTCACAGAGATGTGAAAAGTACATACTTTCTAGGGTCCTCAAGTTGAGTTCTTAGGAAGACAAATGCCTCTTTGTTACTGAATTCACTTGCCTCTAGTTAAAATACCAAAAATATCAGCATTATTTATTCTTCATAAAAGACAAAGTATTTGTGTTACTCTTCTTACATCTTTAAAGGGCAGAGGTCAAGGCTATTTAAGGTGAAAAAGGCAGTGTGTAGCTACTTTTAAGACCTTTCAACAAATTAGTATTGACCTGAAAATTAATTTTAAAGCCTACTACTATTGGCCAGAAAACTGAATCTCAGAGCTCCATACCAATAGTTAAAAGCTCCATTTTTTCTCAAGTGATTGCTACGGGTGCAGAGTGCACAGCTTCCCCATACCTCGCTTCTGGATGAAGACTCGAAGCAAGGGGTTTGCACTTGAGACCGCCTTGCAGAAGTTGTCGTCATTGTTGATGGGCAGCAGGTCCCCGTGCACATCAGCATAGCCGATGGTCACTTCGGTGTTAGAGATGTGATGGGTGTGCACCACCAGCTGGTAGAAATCTTCAAACTTCCCAGGCTTGTGGCGGTCCAAGGAGAACCTTCGGAACTCAGCGCCAAACTACAAGGCAAGAGACGAGAGGAGTGAATTCAGGGAAGAGACGGTGAGAAGAAGGCACACTGTGCTCATGGAACAACAAGGTAACCAAGTCCCCAGGAGGCCATGGGCAGCCCCACGCTGCAGTCTTGGGCCTGAACAAGTTGAATTCTATTTAAAATACATAAAGTATATTTCTAATTTTTGTTTTAAAGTTTTAGGTTTCCAGATGGTTTTTAAAAAAATATCCCCTTTGTTTTGATTAATCGTCCCCATGTTTCCTACCCCTCCCTGCTTAAACCTTTCCACTCACAGAATTGACTTTCATATTATTACCTATGTACTACTTACTATCTTCCTTTAAGTACCAAACCATGGCCTCTTGTTAGTTTTCTGGCGTCTTTAGTAACTCAAAGTAAAAAGAAGTAAGGATCCACACACAAGAGACAAGATAAAGATGGTGTGCAGGCTACTGGAAGGAAAAGGCACTAACTGGGAACCAACCTGCCACACAAATGTGACCACTTGTGTAATCATGCACTTCTGTTAGGGTGTGACCAACTGCTTTTGATTTAATGCCCACACCATAGGAGGGAATCCACACTGGGTACTAAAGCCTGGTCAAAAACCCATGGCAGGGTAAATAAAAAGCCACGGGGGGATTGAACATTGCTATTTAGCCAAACTGACAACACAGAGAGCACCCTTCTAAATATTTATGTTTATAACCACAAATGCTACTCTAAGCCTTAACCAGAGAGGGTTCTCTCTCCAGTGAGTTGTGGTGAATGAAGAAGTCATGACCACAGTTGCACACAGGGTTGAGAATAAGCGACTTATCAGTGCTTAGCCCTAAACAATGCATTTGTACAAAAGCTTGGATAGAGCACTGTGGAAAGTGGGCAGAAGGAATGGAATTGCTGGAAGAAGGCAAAGGACTGTGGAGCGCCCTCTCTGGCTAACACATGGGCACGAACTCATAGTGCAGTCGTGAACTCATAGTGGTTGTAGATGCCTGCCCTGGGTCTGCATGGGAATGGCCTTTCAGCAGTCAAAGATGAAGGAGGCGCTCAGCGGGCCTCACCCATCACTGATGAACTATTTGCTATACACAGATCCAGGGAGACGGGGAGTCATTGCCTTCAGTTGTGGACCCAACGGTGACCCCGGCAGGCTTCAATAGACAGTTCTAATCAAAGGCTAACACAGATGACCCTGATTGGAACTAAATGGGTCACAAGACAAACCCAAAAGTCACCAATCTTAGAAGAGGACTGGCAGGGAGGAGGGAGAAGCATGCCACATGATGGGGATGGGAGAGGTAAGAGGTGAGTGGGGGAGGAGCAGTCAGAATCAGAATGTACTATATACAGCTACGAAACTGTAACAACAACAAAAATATCTTTGGAAAGTTAGAAAGGAATAAAAGGGGAAGATAAAAAAGAAGCAGCTGTCTTTCCAAGGAGCAGTAAGCTCCCACCTCTGCACAGTAACTGGTGGCTCCACACACGCAAGGGCTCCAGGATTATCTGATTTTCTGCAGACCCTGGCCCTGACCTGGTTGCCTGTGGAGCTGCTCCCAGAGCTGACATTTACCTCCAGAAGACCCCAGTCCACAGCCTATGGGTCACCTCTTGAGGTCTGCAAGGAAATTGCCACTGTCAGTCTGACTTGAGAGTCTTAGCTCAGACTAGACTTCAGCATAATTAAGAGGAAAACAACGGGGCTGGAAAGTACACAGGGTTAAATGTTGACTGTTACACGAGAATTGCCATTACAGCATCTGGACATAATTATACTGGTCAAGTCATCTCAAGTCACTGGAGTTTATGTCAGAAATCACCTACCCTGTTCTCAGGTTTGGGGCTGTATCCCAGGAATTTGTGTTTTTAACAAAGCTTCCCAGAAGTAACCAATGTTAAGTGTCTGGGGCCACATACAGAGGACCAGTGGCTTAAGGAAAATAACTTCCAGAGATCTGTGTGAAGACCCACTTGCCCGAGAAGCAACTGCTGTTCCCACTTCTTGCAGGTCACACAAAGCCATGCCAAGCCTCTTACCTACCTCCTCTGCCCAGAACCCATAACAAAGGAACAATTCAAAATGTTGGCAAAACTCTACATTCAGTGACAAGTCTACTGTCCCCGCCCATACACACAGTAGGGGAAGAAGTATGGCCCAAGAATTAGTGTCTGGCTAGTGGCATTTATGCATGGCTAATGCTCGGGAAAGGGCTCTGGTCTGTCTCTGCCGCTGTCAGAGGTTCAGATCTATCACCCTGGCTCCCATTACTCAGATAAGTATGGCATTTCTTCTCCGCAATTAACAAAGGCATGATGCCCATCAGCGGGCAGTGGGCAGAGCACACCGGTCTTCATTCAGTGGGGTTAGAAACCTCTAAGATACACAAGATAAAGCCTACAGTCCAAGTTCTTTTTTTTTTTTTTTTTTTTGGTTTTTCGAGACAGGGTTTCTCTGTGTACCCCGGGCTGTCCTGGAACTCACACTATAGACCAGGCTGGCCTCGAACTCAGAAATCCGCCTGCCTCTGCCTCCCAAGTGCTGGGATTAAAGGCATGCGCCACCACCACCCGGCCTTTTTTTTTCTTTTGGAACAGTCCAAGTTCTATATGATTCCTTCCCAACGTAGGCAGCCAATCAAACCATAACACATTTACTTCATAAGCAGGCAGTCTTCATGATTCCCATCTGCTGCTGACTTCTGCTGAGTCTATGACACACCCCTTTCTTCTCACGGAAGACATGAAAGACGGTAATGGTGAGTAATGAAACCCCAGGAGCATTTCTCTCCCTGCTTGTTTGGGTCTCCTCAGCAGGATGTGTCACTGTACACTCACCTGAGGAACTCCCTTCCGTCCATTCTCACAGCACCCTGCACTGTGGACTCAGCACCCAGAAGTTCCCAAACTCAATACCCAGGTTCCCCAGTAAGGTTCCCACTTCAGTTTCACCTGGCAACTAGCCGGCACACAGCTCGACCTTTTTTTCACTATTTGAACAATTTTCCTAAAAAACGTGTACCTTCCTGTAGCAATTTGAGAAGACAAAAGAATTCAGACTTTTCTTGAGGTGAGAAAAGTCCGGTTTGCGTTTGACCATGTGACTGGCTTGCTGCTCAATCAGAGAGCGGGTTGTGCTTAATGTTAGATGCTGTTCACATCTCCAACAGAAATGTGAGAAACACATTTTATCTAGAAATTAATTTTCTTTATTTTCTACTTAACATCAGAGTAAACAAGGGGCCTCTGAATGAAGATTTAGTAGGTGCAACTCATCCATGCCATAGGATTCTGGATAATGCCACGAATTTTTCTACCTTCCAAAAACTGAAAAGCCACGTGACTCTAATGACCAGATAATGCACCTTACCTGTCAAGTGTTTACTTTCACCAGAACCAGAAACCGTTCATATTGAACTCGTAGCAAACAGATGACTGAAATGGTTCTCATGGTTGAGATATTCTTGCCGCGTGGCCTAGGGAGAGGTCAAAGAGGCCTCTCCTCACCCGCTCGCCTGGGAGCCTCACTACACCTGGCTCTGGGTTCACTGACAGAGCATTTGATGTGTGTGAGCAAAGCTCATGCTGGTGTTGACATCTATAGCAGTAAAGAGCAGACAAAGAAGACATTTTCCTGAACACTGAGCAATAAGTACCTTTCATCAGATGAAGGATTTGTAAGATGCTTATTCCGGATGACCTACAGTTATCTTCCAACATCCGTACCTGTACTTCAACCATAATTTGTTATAACAATGTAATAATTCAAAGAATTTTAAAAGATAAATTCTATAATACACATCAGCCATTTTTGTTTTTATTTTATAATAACTCCATGTTTAAAAAATATATATATTAAAATTTTATATTAAAATATAAAATATGTATATGATGTATCTTGATCACATCAGGCCTAGACCTTCCCTCCCACTCCTCCAGCCTCACTCCTAGTCCCCACCCCCTTGTGTCCCCTTCTTTCTGCATGGTTGCTGCGTGCACATGTGTATCCAGTGAACACAGACAACCTATCAGCAGCCATTCTCTTGATATTTGCCACTGTTTTGTTTGGCTTTGATTTGTTTGCTTGCTTTGGGGACAGGGTCTTGCTATATAGATTAGTTTGAACTCAGTTCTTGATTTTCTTGCCTCAGCCTGGTGAGAGGTAATTACAGAAGTCCTACACCATAGCTTGTTCATTTTAGTCATTTATACATCTCAGGGGTGATCATTACAACACATCCAAAATATGCCTGTGTTCCTCTCACACTGGTGTGTGTCTGTCTGCCTGTCTGTCTGCCTGCCTGCCTGTCTGTCTGTCTGTCTGTCTATGTTGCCTAAGCTGGTCTTGAACTCTCAGACTTAAGAAATTTTCCTACCTCAGCCTCCTGAGTGATGAGACTACAAGTGTGTTCCAGTGTTCCTACCTCTGGAGCTCTTCCCATTTGACAAACTGAAAATACCACTAGCAACAATTTAGGAGTGATTTTTTTTTAACAGAGATTTTATAGCCATATGAAAAATATTTCAATTTAAACTTATCTAAATTTTTTATTACAAAGAAGAATGGCAGATAATCAAGCATAGATTAGTAGAACGGGAGTATAGAAGAAAAATCTCTTGGGATAATAATAGATAAGAGAAATCAAAGAGAAAAGGAATTTTGTAAATTTTCTGATAGCAAAGATTGTGTTTATTCTATTTTAAATTTTTTTTTTTTTTTTTTTTTTTGGTTTTTCGAGACAGGGTCTCTCTGTGTAGCCCTGGCTGTCCTGGAACTCACTCTGTAGACCAGGCTGGCCTCGAACTCAGAAATCCGCCTGCCTCTGCCTCCCAAGTGCTGGGATTAAAGGCATGCGCCACCACCACCCGGCCTATTTTAAAATGTTTAATGAAAATATCAAGCCACTCTATTCAGAATTCACTCTCTACATTGAAAAGTTCAGCAGGGCATGGTGATATGCACACAGTGAGTATATAGGAAAGGGGGAAAGCGCCTCTTTCCCA